CAGGCCAGGATTGCATTTCACATCTGGTTGTTAAGAATATTAAGTCTTCTTCATCAAGATCAGTACCTTTTTCATGGTAACCACTTATTAGGGAAAACAAGTTGAGTTTCCTTATAGAACATTGTCCCTTCTCAATATAACTGGTTGCTTCCTTGTGGTTAATTTTTTTTTCCCAAGAGTAACTTTTGCTAGAATAAGAAGAATTTGCCCTCTTAAGATGTCTGAGAAAACAGTTATGTATGAGTTTCAGGTACAGAGATTCCATTTTTACTTCTTCAGGTTGTTTGTACCTCTATCATCCTACAGAATAATGAGAGGAAAAAAAAGGTAAAGAAATACAAATCAACCAAGGAATTGCTGCAGGAAAATATTAAAAGTAAAAGCTAACCAGAAAAACATAGAAATTACTGTATATTGAGGTTTTGAATGTTTTATTTTCATTACCATGACTAAAGTAAGTAGTAATGATATGATAATTGATATTTATCTGAATTAAATGAAAAAAATAGTCAGGGATCTTGTTTTGTTGTATTGGAAGTGATTATTCTTAAAATTAAAAGCAAACAAGAACAAAAGAACATTTTCTTTTAATTTATAGTGACACTGACATTTTCATAAAGACACACCACTTTTTTTTTTTTTGCCAAATAGAAAAGCAGAGGAATTTTAGAGGTTAATTCAAATCTACAATTAACAAAATGTTAAGGACTATTCTCAATCATATATAAATCCTTTGCAGTAAAAAACTGAGCTCAAGAATACAACCCTTTTTATAGTAGTGGCTTTTCAGGGATATGTTAGCCACTAGTGCTGAAAATAATGCCTTGAGTTGAAAACTTGAAATATTTTCTGAAATAGATATTTAACTGGCGTGCTCAAAATATAATCTTACATACCAGGACACATCACAATGATGAGTTTGTTTTCATACTATAGTTTAATTTTCTCAGCATAGATTTTTATGTCTTTAGAAAATTCCATTTAGGAAAATCTAGTTGAATTATAGCAACATTTCAGTATGCTACAGTACTTTCAACTGTCAGGAAACAACCTTTAGGATGAACTACTTTTTAGGTTTTTCTGCAGTTTTGTATGACAATAATGTAACATAATCCTTAAAACACATGACTTCATTTATCGAAGAAGTTACATA